ACAATGGGCCGCCAGTTGGCGTTTTATTCTCGATGAATTATCTTTGTTTTTCCTTTTTATATAGAATTATGAGCAGTTTTACACACATTAATTGCAAACCATTTTTTAATGCTCTTTTATGATAACAAAATAGATAAACAAGTAATAATACGTAATAGTACGATAGCTAGACTTTTTAAAGTTTTGAAAGTTGTCTTACGCCTTCTACTAAGCTACCCTAAGTTATGACCTATTGTATTTTTTTCTAACGACAATAGATCAAAGTGTAATAGTTGACCGGTGAAACTATTTGGTACCCTTAGAAGTTCCAAACCGTAAAATACTACTACGAAAATACATATTTCTGTCACATACAATAGAGTTCTTTCTCTAAGGAATTCTAAAAATATAACAGTTAAGGGATATGAACTATCTAGCCCTTCCTGACGGACATTATAGCATACAATCCATACTACAAGTATAACATTTTAGAAATATTTAAAAAAATATTCTCTTTCAATTAATTCAGTAATTGAGTTTCATAATGAAAATCGTGTAATTGAAAGAAAATGTCCTTATTGTGGATAAAATTCATTTAACTACGCCAAATCACTTAACAATGAAATACTTCTTCAAGAAATTGGAGCAAGGAGCACTGCTGTGTGCAAGGGCGTGATCAGTAAGATTGTTCATAAGTTTTGTATTAATTATAAATCGATATAACATCCACCAATAATTACGCTTTTGATCATTTTGTAAGCTGTTCCCTCATCATAAAAATATAAGCTTTTTACGCCTACATACATATGTATATTTGTATATTGAAAAATGCAACAGCTGAGATCATAGTGACATTGCTCAGAAATGCAATTTAAATTTTCTACGTAAATTACTTGTACGTAATCAATGTTTTAGTAAGAATTTTAAATGTTACAAATTGCAGCGATTTCCATGAAAATTCCAATCAAATTAATACAACAACGATTTAAACATGTTTGGAAATCCCAAAAACACCACAAAACTTGCGCTGTCTTATTTGGTTGAAAATTACAATGAATCTTTACTTTATGCCCTTCACGACACGAAGCGCACGTACGCATTGGCAGCCTCTAAATGGCATTGAACACTAGAGAGCAATAAATTTTTGTGGCAGTAATTTGTGTTAAATAACTTGTTAAATAAAAAATACTAAATAAATGAAACAACAACAATATGTGTTACGTCAAGTGGAGAACATGTCTGTAGGCTTTTGCACAAAATTCACAGAAATTCGCATATTCACGCTGTTGCTGCCATACATAAGTACATATATGTATGTATGTAATAACATAGTTAATATGTCAGCAAGATATGTATGCAAGTGTGTAACTGCAAGTGCAAATATTTAATTGAAATGCAAAGAGACACGCGTCGCTCACGGCTGCAATCACGGCGCTCACATGACCGACCCTACCTACTGAACGATTAACCGAACGCCACAGCTCACCTGATTGACTGCACTAACGTGTTTGACGTGCCGCTTGGCATAAAAAAATTAGTAAGGTGGGATTTTATTCGAACCGAAAACTCGTTTCACAGATGTATATGTACGAAATTTGGTTGAAATCTTTGCATTGTTTCCAAATTATTCATGTTTGCTTAGAAGGAGAAAGGTAAGGTTAGGCTGACTTGTCTAAAACTTACTTTAAAAGTAAATGGGTCGCCTCTAGATGTTAGAAAACTTTTTTTCCAAAAAATTTTTTTTTAAATCTACAAATTTTATCCTAAGGCTAAGCAAAAAAAGAATTTTTCGCTCCACCCTTAATGTATAAAATAATAATATCGATAATATAAAAAAAATCGATAGTCGCTCCTGAGTGGATCAAATGCGAGTTAAGTCCGATAAGGCAGACTTCAAGGGCGAGGCAGTGCGAAAAAACAAAGTAGAGCTTAAAGATAAACATAACCAGCGATTTTTTCGCACACTTCAATGGATGCGCTCCAAGTGTCTAGCATTTCGATTAATTTGTAGAGATATATTCAACATGTAATTTCGCACGTGAAGTTTTTAAATAACTCTTGCTTAGCATCAATACAAGTGCCATAATAATGGTATTAAATCTTAAATGCCAGTCAAAAATTTCTATATTTGCATAGCGCTGATTTGATTACGCCGCCTGATATCGCGGGCAATTAACTTTCTATAATTTTTCCATTAATGGTTTTTTATGTGCTCTTTTATACGCTTTAAAATGACGTAGGAAAGTGTTTGTATGTACAGGTTGGTTGAAAAGTTTCTGCGCTCGAAATGAAAAAATACTGTTTTTGTTACGAAATATATTTTTTTATTTAATAATATTCCCTTAACTTCAATGCACTTATACCACTGATCCTCTAATAATTTTATGTCACGCCAATAATGACTTTCCGGAAGCTCTGCAAAATACCCGTCTACGGCGGTAATAGCTTCTTCATTCGCCGAAAAACCCTTTCCACGAAGGAATTGTGTCAGGTTTCTGAAGTTGTAGTAGTCGCTGCGAGCCAAATCTGATGAATACGGTGAATGCTCAAGCAATTCGTACTTTAACTCGTTAAATGAAAAATATTTTTTGTGCTGCTAACCAGCTCTTTTCTCACAAAGTTTTTCATCCAGCTGAATCAGAAGGCTGCAAAATTTCAGGGTTTATTGTTTTAGCTGTTTTGCAGATAATCAATCAATAAAATTTCTATTGCATCCCAAAAAACTGATGTCATAACTTCTTTGCTGATCGTTGTGACTTTACCATCTTTGGAGCTGAACAACCTGTCTCAGTCCACTGTAAATGTTCTTGTTTCAATTTAGGATCATGGTGGTAGATCCAAGTCTCATCCATAGTTATAAAACGATGCAAGAAATCGGTTTTCTTCTGTTTATGTTCACTAACAATATTATGAACTTGCTCAATGATTTCTGGTGTGGTTGCGTTTTGAAGCTGAGGACTCCTTAAACACTTCTATAAATTGTTCATAAATTTCCTTTGCTTTTAAATCTTTCCAAACAAATAATCTAATCACTGCGCGATATTAAATTTTACTCTGACACGTCAACTGCAAACCAAATGACTTGTAACTTTGCATGTGTGCTCACGACAGATGTATCAACCTGAGGAAAAAAAAATTTCCAGCTAGTAATGCTACATTTCTTGGTGAGAGCATACACTTTTCAACCAACCTGTACTCGTGTCCAAATAGGGTGAGCACAAAGTATTCGATAAATGATCTGAATAACTCTTAAAATGTTAAGCGGCGCCAATGGTTTTTAAATTACCGTAAATATGTCGTTATATCTAAAGATTTCCTCGATTACACACAGTTTTTCGAGTAATCTAAATATTAGTAGCTCTATAGCACGATTCAGTCAGAGTAATTGAAGTTGTGCTGCCTTACACAGCAGCATTTTTATAGGCAAAGGGTTAAGTTTTAAAAAAACTTCGTCGAGGTAACAACGCCGTGTTTATTAGCTGATTGTCGTCAACTGCACTAAAGATAACCATAACCTCAAGTTAATCATCATACAACCATGTTATTCAATTTAAAGACCTTATTTTTGTGATTCTCCAAAACATGCCGAGCAATGACGTTACGAGTCCAAATACCGCGCCAAGCAAAAACTTTTTGGTTATCGGTTTGCGTTCCTTTATACCTAGTATTTATGTCCCAAGGATCTAGCATAAAAGTAGACACTGAATAACACTTATCGACGCCTACTTGGCAATTCAATCAACGAACAAACGACATTTTTACTGCTGTTAATTTTAAATTTCTCGATCATGTAGACTACTACAACACTTTCAAATGCACCTTCTCACTTTGATGTCTATAACCAACGTGGCTCTGTTGGAATTGGTACACTTCGATACTCTCAGAAACTTTTTCAGGAGATTATTATTGGCTGATATTTACTTTGCCGGAGCAGAGACAATTTTGAAGAACCATTATGTCGGTTATAAAAACAAGACTAGAGTCTTCCAACACCTACCCATGGTAACAAGAATTGGTAACACAAAACCTTATAGCAGCTCAACGCAGTCATATTAACATAATAGTCCCAGAGATGTCATTCAACTTAGGTTTCTCTGCAATTTAGCTTCCGCGGTACTCACTGTGCTTGAAGTCAGACTAAAACTATGAAACTCTAATATTATATATACATACTTGTATATACAACGGTAATCAGTTTGGCAGCTTTGATAAAAACTTGTTAAATTATAACTACCGTAAATGCCTAGCCAAAATGAGTTTAGATATATACATTTTTTTTTAATTTGCTGTTATCTAAGCTAATTACTATGCAGATTAGGTACAAGCATGATAAGCGCACGGACTCGATCATATAAAGATATCTAAATTTGTTTACCAACAAATATTGTCTGTTAATGTCACTTTCAAAGCAACAACCGTTTACTCGGCGCTAAACAGATTTAAAACAGAAAAAGTACCCAACTGCAATGCCGAGACTTTTCCTTCTCTTAAGTGATCTTTTTTTAAGCCATATCCGGCTCCGTCACGGTTAGATGAAGACCTTTTCCTCGAGGGTACCGTTCGGCAGCCTCAATGATTGATGTAACATTATTAACACGGTCTGCGTATGCGATCAAGCACTGTCAACTCGGCAGCATTTCTCCAAATGACTTTGTGTCTATACAACAACAACAACCACAACGTAATCTATCAAATTCGAAATCACTACAATCACAAAATTGCAATCACTACAGCAAAAATCTGCAATTTAAACGGCCAACAGCTTATGCTTATGCACATCATTTGCGCCTAAATGTATGTGGCTCTTTATGATTCTATCTAAACACACACACATACTTAAGGCGAGCCAACATTTTTTTATGGCCGAGTGCACACGTTAGGCAATTCCACGCAATCGTAATTGATGCTAACAGACCAACTCTTGTCATGGCGACAGCAGGAATGAAGTTTCATTCGAATAATTATTTCAAATGGCAAACGGATATCCGTTACAAAAAAAAAAAAAATCATACATACATAAGTTACTTTGCCTCCTAAAGAGGTAAAAAAATGTTTTTTATTCAGAAAATGAGTTATGCGCATGCGCACAAATCTTCAGTTTACATGGTTTCTCTCAATTGTTGCATTTAATCAACCGTGTTATGCAGCATTTTTAACATATTCTTGCGAAATCTGCGCATTATTTCTAGTGACACGTTAAAATTCAGCAATACTTTAGTTGATAACTTAATTAATGTTGTCACGTTTATGGTATATTAAGGAAAAATAAACGGTATTTTTCTAACACAGCGCTTAAGTAAATGGAATTTAAATTCATTACGTTAAAAATACACAGTTTTAGCAAATTAAGTATAGGCTTGAAAATAAAACGGTAATAGCCGAATTTTCAACTACATAACCCGACAAAGCATATAATTTAAACGAATTAAAAATAATTCAATAAAAATAGAGTAAAAGATGCGCATCATCCTTCCCGTTGTGTGATGTGCATGTTAATTTTACAGTTATGTGTATACATAGTATGTAAGTTAAGTTTCAATATATGAACATTAAGTTTGCTTCTTTCACAGAGTATAAAATAAAACTTATATGTATTTTTTATTATTGTAATATATGGTTAGGTAATTTCCATGTTTTTGAATTGACTTACAGCATAAACAAATTACAAATTAAACGTTAATGTAGTAGTAACTGTGTTAACGGTTACACGACCACTTGTAGTGCCATTGCGATGACTACGAAAATGAGCGTTGAAAAATTAAGGATTTGTTTCGAAAATTTATTGTGTAACTTTCTTTCCCCTCCCCATGAAACTGGGTACGTTGACTTGATTTAAAAAGAAAAACGCACATTTACATTCCGCGATAACGTAAAGATACCTCAGTACCACTCCCCATTCGCAATGCACATACGGATTGCTTTCTTTAGATGCGGCGTTGAAAATTGCCACCGCCACCGCCACCAGATTTTGTATTGCCAGTTTTGGTTTTGCCATCAAAGAAGAGCTCAATGTAACGTGAACCCATTTGATCGCGGTGGCGCTTCATAGCTAGTTGAGCATCTTCGTACGTCTCGAAAAAGACATCGGCGGTGCCACTGTGCAAGCCACTTTTATTAAAATTAACACGTACATTGGCTGGGCGTATTGGGTCGAAGAACTGCAAAAATAATTAAATTTTATATTATATTTGAGACGACTTAACGTTGGTGTCACACCCACCTTAAATATATCATTATCAAACGACTGATACGGCAAACCGCGCATATGTATGGTGAAGTACTCGCTGTCATTGCGACCACCGCCGATTGGACCGAAATTGCCTCCACCACCGATCATAGCGTTACCACCGTTAAATCCACCGCCCATATTGCCATTACCGGCACCACCGGCAACGCCAACACCGCCGTTGCCACCGAAATTACCAAAGTTGCCGAAATTGCCAAAGCTACCGACGCCGCCGCCACCGCCACCGCCATTGTTTGGTCCAACGCCCATGCCACCATTGCGGTTGTTGCCGACTGGAAAATCATTACCGAAATTGCCGCCATTACTGAAATTTCGGTTATTGCCAAAGTTGCCAAAGTCACCGAAATCGTTGCCGAAATTGCCGCCACTGTTGTTGAAACGATTATTGCCGCCAAAGCCACCGTTGCCGTTGCCGTTCCCGTTGCCGAAGTTACCATTGTTGCCGTTGCCTGCGCCAAAATTACCGTTATTGCCAAAACCACCGAAAGCGCCGCCATTATTGCCATTACCAAAACCACCAATTCCACCGCCACTGCCACCTCCATTGCCATTCGATCCAAAGTTATTGCCAAAATTGCCCGAGTTTGTAAAGTTCGGCAAGTTATTAAAGCCAAGTGTATTGTTGGCGCCAACACCGAATGGAGCGCCATTGTTACCCCAATCTGTGGGGCGCCAAAAAAATAAACATAAAAGTACGCACTTAGTAAGTTTAAGGTTGTTACAATTTAAGGCATGCATACTTACCATTGCCGCCACGCATGTTGCGTCCGCCGCCGTAATCATTGCCGCGATTACCGCCACGATCCTTCAAGTCATATGGACCAGTGCGGCCATTACCTTTGGCAGCGCGTTTCAGTTCAGCCAGTGAGCTACGGAAGATTTCAATATACCTGCGGGGAAGGAGAAAAGTTGAGGAAACATTGAAAATGTAAATAGAAATACAGTTATTTGTAGTGGCGCTCCGTTTTACTGTTGTTTTGTTATTATAAGTATATATTCTTCAATATTTTGCTTGACTGTGTTGCAATTGATGTAAACTTGTACATATTTTAACGGTTTTGAAACACCTAAAAATGTTCAAATATGAAAGGTTGTCAACTGATATTACAACTCTTTATGTTGAGTTATCAGCAGCAGCTGTATTAAGTTTATATGAATACTATATTAAATTACTGAGGCGCGTCTTGTTTTCATTCGTTTGTGCGTGTTTATGTGGATATGGACCCAACCAAGACCCCACCCACAACCGTAGCCCAAGCAATTTGAATTCTAAATAAAAGATGCATCGGAATTAAATTAAAAAATATTGTTTTTAAAAATGATTTATTATTATTATTTTTTTTTTTTTGGTTAATTTGATTGCTCGATTAATTTGTTTAATCGATAATCGAGGTGAAATGAGTGACGAGTACGTTTATTGGAACAGCCCCGTTAGAGTTGAATTAACAAAAGAATAGAAAATTGCAGTGAAAATAAATTCGTTAAGTACTTAAAGCATATTCTTTTGCTAAATGAATTATATGAAAATATAATTTTGAGGTAAAATAATTAGTAATGGTTTTTAAAAGGCTACAAAAGCAGACTTTGTCTTATAAACGTTCAGTACAAGGATCAGTAACTGAGGAAATATTAAAAATATATTAATAGAAATAAATAAAGAGAAACTAACAGAAATTAATAAAACAAAAAAATAATTTAAATTAAAAATAGAAAAATTAACTTGAAAATATCAACTTCGAAACGTCATGTTCCTTGAACTTTCGAAATCATAAGGTATAAAAACACAATTTATTCGTGTTGTATTTGAAAGTTTCACCCATTTTCATTTCAAAATATTTGCAGAGCAAAAATATCCTATAAAAAAGGCAAATGGTAATTGTACATATTTATTGTATTATTTAATAGAGAAGTATGTGGTTTATTATTTGAGACAATGAAAATTAGAGTGACAACCCACCTGTGCCCAATCTTATCCCGATTACGTCCCAAGGCTTGTTCAGTGTCATCCTGGCTTTCGAACTGAACAAAAGCTTCCCCAGTCGCACGACCCCTTTTGTCCATAACAAAAAGTATCCCCTCCCGATCCGGTTTGATTTCCAACCCTGCCCATGACGATAACAACCAAATATTAAGAATTCTTTCAATTCAATGCATAAATTTGTTGTATTTTTTTTTTCTATGAGAAGCTTTATAAAAAAAAATCATCATTATTGCGGCAAATGTTGTAACGCAGTTTTTATTGCTATTTGAAATGGTAGTAGAGGCTCCAAGTTTGATGGTATTTTTTTGTTTGAAATGGAGATCAACGAATATTGAAATCCACTTCTGCCTAAACAAAAATAAGTGCTCTAACTAGTACAAGTATATATTCAAATTGTTAATGTATTTTGACGAATTTAATTTGCTATAATTAAACAAAACTATGTGGATAAATATAAAATATAAATACATGTCTTTACGTAAAGAAGTAAGTAAGTGGCAAGAGCTTTCTCTTACATTTACGTACAAGGATTTATGTCTTTTGAAGATGATGTTTTAAACATCCCAAACCATTGTTTTGAAAATTGTGCATACTATATTTATAACAAATAATAAGAATATAATGTATTTCCAAAATATTATCCAACTATGGAAACATTCAATACTAAACACGATAAGGAAAAATAACCAATAACTTAGTACTTACCGCTAAAGAATTCTTCGACTTGTTGTTCAGTGACCGCATATGGCAGACCGCGTAGTTTAACAACATAAGACATGCCATGACTGCCGGTTTTACGCATCGCTTCTTTGGCTTCCTTTGGGTTAGCGGTGAATACTGTAAATAGTAAATAAGGCTTCAGTGGAGAAACTACAGCTTTTGTTTTATTATCTTACCTTCAATGTAACGATGTCCCATTAAGCCTTTGTTTAATTTTCGCGCCTCTTCAACATCATCTTGACTTTGTACCTCAACATAGGCTTCGCCCGTATTTTTGCCATCCCAACGGCTGGTGATAAGATGTATACCCTTCGAGTCATTAGCAACATTGACATTCTTTAGAAAATTTAAAATTTCTTTATGTGTTGCCGACCATGGTAGTCCTCTTAAACGTATGTATTTTGGTCCTGAAGAGTTACTGGTATTACCGCCACCACCCCCAACACTGCCCTGATCTTGGCTCTGCTCATTGTCGTCTTCATTTTCATCTTGATCATCATATTCATCACCTTCTTGTTGATCATTATCATACTCTTGACTGTTGTCATCATCTCCGTACTCTTGAGAGTAATCTTCGTTGTTGGTTTGTGCGTCAGTTGCCATTTTTATTTAAGTGAATTTAACTAAAATGAAATAATATGATGTATTCTAATTTAAATCTTTTATTTTGTTTTATTCCCAGAAAATAGGTGGTAATGATTTACGAGTATTTGTAAAAGCAATCGATATTACGTGCCGGTGGTACACTACCACCATACATCACGCAACACCACGCCAACACTCCAATATTTACTTGTAATAATCCAATATGTTTGTACAAATATTAAAAAAATTCAAACTATGTTATTTTGTTAAAAACAAATAATAAGTAACATTTCATTAAAACGTATACTTTTTTTTTTGTATTGCAAATTTTAGTTATTTGTCACCATGGCAGTTTTTTTTACAATTCCGCCATCTTGAACGATAGTTTGTGGAAAAAATTCAGCGGAAGAATTTGCAACGTTTTTCAATGCGTTTCCCCGTATTATACAAAGAAAAGAAAATTGAATTTACTTAAGCGAGTAATACAAACCCTTTAATTATTACTTTTTGCACAAATTTATTGCAATTGAAGTATATTTCAATTTCTTTATGATATAAAAAAATACAGCAGTAGCACACTTGAATTCACAAAAACTTTTCCGAAGCGAATGAAGCGGTGAGACAAAGAATGGCGCTTAAAAAGAAATTGAAAAAGTCTCCATCTAGCAAAATCTTTCTTCTCAATGCTGCCATTTATTAAAAAGATGTTACCAGAAAATGTAAATTATATTTTATATTTTACATTCTTTGGTATATAATTAATTTAAAGTGTTCCACCAATTAATGAATTCAAATATTTAGAAAGTTGTTGAATTAATACTTATACCTTTATAATCAAAAATATCGATAGATTATCATCGGCAGTATACAATTTTTGTTATGCTCACTAAACACCGATTTGACATTTCCACCTTCCTTTTCTGCTGTGATTCCTTTAACAATTTTGCACATTTTACATTAAAAAAATATAAAAAAATTTGATTAATAAAATTTACATCGATAATGTCTGAAACTGAAATTAATGGTACCGAGGAGGAGGTGCAGGATAAAAAGCAAAAGAAACAAACTCGTCATGACGGTGGTGCTGCCGATTTAGAACGCGTTACAGATTATGCGGAGGAGAAGGAAATTTCGGCAGCGCACATATCCAGTGTGAGTGGACATTAATATTACTTTACTAACAAATATTTAAATTATATTAACAATTTACATAATAGGCAGTAGAGCAAATCGGCAACAAACGCAGCAAAGAAGATGAACGTAAGGTGGCCAAAGAGATGGAGCTGCTGAAGGTGCATGTGAAAAAAGAGGACATTGAACTGATTGTGAGTCGGCTTGTAGGAACATGTGATTTTGGTCATATTTATTTTTCTTTTAGATGAATGAAATGTTAATATCACGCACACAGGCAGAGAAAGTACTGCGTGAACAAAGCGGAGATGTAGTTGCGGCGTTAGAGGCAATAATCGCTAACTAATGTTCTTTCAACTGATAAATCACATATGAGAACAGTTGTTTGTACTATTAATATTTTGTAAAAATAAAAGAAATGTCATACTAGAATTATAGTCTGAAGGACAATTTTACTTTAGTGTTGCAAAATCCCATCTTTAAATTACAGTGACAGCCGAGAATACGCAAATTTAACCCTCGCAAAATTATGGTGGATTTATATGAAATAATATCAAACTTTCTTTACTTCCGCATTTATTTTTAAATCAATTTCATTTGCCACTTTATATAAAGTAGCGAGTTTATACTTTAATTATACTATATATTTATATGTATGCATGTTTTAACAGCTACATATGGATATGAAAACCAAAAATACCGCAATATAGGCTTAAAGGTCGTTTATAGTGTAAATTACATATTTCTTTGTGAATATTTTATCGTTATCTTCGTAGATTATTATTATTAATTTTTTATGAGCTTACGTGCTGTTTTGTAATTTTGGGTAAAATTTTTTAAATAACGAAATTAAAACAATAACAAAGACAAACCACAGTTTAAGCAGTTTGAATAAACTACGTATTTAAATAATTTTGTAAGTTGTCACAAGAAGGCATATTAATATTTTGCGCTTTGCGGAAGAGTTCACGATCGCCAAAGGAGCGAGCCTTGGCTAACATAGAATCACCTGAAAAGACGCAAACAAATTTTGACATAATTCGCGGATTAAGGTGCAATCACTTACGGTAGTTGCGTTCCCGACTACAAGAATACTTTAGGTGATCTATATAGTCTTCTTCCACTGACTCTTCCAAACGCCCAACAGATCCTTGATATTCAGCATGAAAGTTGTTCTTCACATAGTAGGGTACTTTCAGACGGTTTGTCTCACGTTTCACAGCGTATTTGCTGCGAAAAAAATTTTTTATTTTATTTTGTACACAATAAATATGTATATACATATATTTTTGTATATCTCTGTATACTTACTATGATGGCGACAAACTATAAATAGGGTCCGATATGAAAAATGAGGATACCATCGATAAGGCGATTAATAACAATATAGGCAAAAAGTTGATAAGCGCCGAAGAGTTTGATTGATTCTGTTAGCAGTGCATAAAAAGATAAATAAAGTATAATGTTCGGAATCAAAATTCACACTTACTTCGCCGTCATCGCGATGCTGTTGCCTGCGACGTTGTTGACGCATATAAACATTCTGCTGGGCGAATCCTCCACCGAAGAACATATTAAATAGATCTTCCGGGCTAACCTCAGCCTGGAAACCACGCGCATAAGCATATTCGTAGTTGTCTCTGCGTACACCGTGACCACTAGTGTGTGTCTCATTAATGCCATACAAATCATATTGTTTACGTTTCTCAGCGTCTGTGAGAATAGCTGCAGCATTTCCAACTGCTTTAAAGGCATCAGCAGCACCGGGTGCCTTATTTTTGTCAGGATGGAGTAATAAGGCCAGCTTCTTATATGACTTTTTAATTTCAGAATCCGTTGCTTCTTTGGTAATACTAAGTATTTCATAATAATTGCGACAACTGCAAGAAATCTACAATTATTAGCTAAAATTCACTAAATTCTTTATAAAATCAATACTCACCCTTTAACTTTGCGCACGGCCTCTAATTGCTCTTTCGTATATTCAGGCTCCACATGACGTGAGTCAGAGTTCTTGCGTTTACGTGGACCATTACCATTAGACGCACCGTTACGATGTGGCGAGCCACTTGCATTGCCACTGTTGCTAGTTTTGTTTCCTCCAGTCGTTGCGCCGGTCTTAACTTTTGACAAGAGTTCTAGGGCAGTTGAAAACGTAAATGTTATTAGGAAATTGTTTTATTGCTGTAATTTGGTTTTATGTTTTCTCACCTTTAGCACGTTCAGTTGGGAATAGTTTTTCCGCTTTCAGCAAGAACTTTTCAGCCTTTTCCATTTTACCCTCGGCAAAGGCTTGCACCGCTATATCAATGCACCGATGCGATTCATCTTTATTGCCATCCATCTTAGCTGTACACCTGCTGCTATCGTGTGTTGATTAATTAACTTTCAATTATTGTTTAATATTACTAAATTTAAATTCACCACCCCCCTCAAGTGACGAGACAAGTGATGGTAACCGAATGCAACGAAGTTCTGCGAGCGACCGAAGGGTTCGGATCGAAGTCTTCAAACAATCCTAAATACTTACTCGCACTTTTATTTTTTATCTATGTACAGTAAAATAGTGTTAGCTAATCCGTCTGTACATTTATTTTGTATCGTTATACCTTTAAAAATTTTCCTTTTTCTACAATAGATCTCTTTGACCGTGTCTATGAAAATTTTCTTTTACCTACACATCAGTTTTTACATTTTCTTTTACTCATCTTCTACTTCACCATATTACAGGGTTGATTTATGCCTTTGAGACTTTACAATAGTTTAAATTTATATTTAAAATATTAATACCAAATATGGTTAGCATAATAAAAACTAGCAGTAGTCCCAATTTTTAAACAATATTAATTTCCACTCATATCCAATATTTTAGAATTTTTCCACTTCGTAGTACAACATCACCAAACCACAAATAACGAAATAGATTTTTAATATCACTAACGTAACAATTTCTAACGTTAAAAATGTACCCATCAACATCTTTGGACGACAATAATGAAAAACCTACTTTTAACTGTTATTTTGGTTATGTGACAAGACATTTGTTTATTTCCTCCCAATCAGATCGATAAATACTTCTTATCGATTGCTATATAATTGTTGTCATATTTGGTTGGCGTGTTGGTTTTACATGCGTGTAGAAATTTGGCAGCTCTGGGCGAACTTTCCTATCGACGTCGTTTCGTTTCGTTGCGTCCGCGAAAATAGCAACATTCTGGTGAAATTTTGCGTATTTATGCGCGTAAAATACTTGCAAAATCTAAAAAAATCAATAGAAATTCAGTATTTTGACACAGTGCAAGTGCAGTTTATATTATTGAGACCATAAAGGTGTTGTGAAAAAGTGCACTCACTTGGTACCCCTTCTTCATCGTCATAGTCTTCATCGTCAAAGGCCGTCTGTGTATTCGTCGTCGCGTCGCTGTCGGTGTTGACGTCGCTGTTAGCTGCTAATTGCAGTTGAATATCTCGCACGGTTCTTAGTACATATTTGACTTGGTGCGAATACTTTTCGTTTAAATGAGAAATATAATTAAATATTTAACATAAAAACGTGTCCACTTATGGATGAACTAGAAAGATCATTATTAAATGTCTACATTTTGCATAAGAATTATTTTGACGGTTCTTTTGTATAGCTTATGAAAATAAAAACAAACAAATACAAGTACCAGCAGTCATCTCGCTTTAACACACGTAAGAGCGCCGGTAAAGTCAACGAAATTGTCGTCGCAGCGATAAAAAGTGATTTGTATTGAGTACGTTTGCAATAGCGAGGAAAATCGTTGCAATAAATTGAACAATCTTTGTGATAAGGTAGGTGAAACATATATATATATTTTTTCTTATACTTATATTTATTGATCCAGATGTCTGCTAAATGTACCATATATAATATAAGCAGACCATAATTTATTTAACAAAATGTGTATGAGTCTCTGCTGCATACACGTTAGCGATACGCCGGCGGTCTTATTGCTTAAATGGGCATAAGGTATAGGAAACAGTTTTATATAAATATAAAATTAAAGGTTTTTAGTTAACACATATGTATGCATATATTGCATGTATGCATATGAGATTGACAAATAATTGATATTTGTTTGTGATTCTAAACTTATACAAAAACAGCTGTGTTTTGTCGATTAATCCACTTATGTTTATCGATTTTTTAAGTTACAGCCACATGTGTCAGTAACAGTTCGTAAACTGAAAAT